TGGAGAAAAGATAAATAATAAGGTTTTGTGAGTGATTTTCGGTGCAGTAAGGTGTTAGCATGTTTCGCTCGTTGCTAATTCAGAGGCTCAGTGTTAGCATTGTGGGTTTTCTTTTGAAAAAAAAAAAAAAAAGATCAGTTAGATGAGTTTCTTCCCGTTACATGGATATAAAACATTCATAGTTTATTAAATGAACATGCCCTCAGACACTGTTTCCTGCAAGATGTTGCGGCAGTGCCCCGGTACCGGGGTCTCTCGGGCTTAACAGGTTAAAAAGAAAGAAAGCCAATTACCAATGTTATGCACTCCAACAGTCATCTGGTTTTGTGTCGATATGATCAAATGGAAGTTTGTTTGCTTTTATGTATTGCCCTTACTTTTAAACTTTTAAAATGAATAAAGTTGATTGTGTATAAATTCCCATATATTCTGTTCATTTTACAAAATGTGTCTTTTACAAACAAGGTTTGGTTGGTAAAAATGTAAAATAAAATGTATGAAATCATCTGGTTGAGATTCCTATTTTAGAGTTTAATCTTTATTCCAGCAAATTGCACACTACACTAATACATACAGTATATTACATAAGCTTGACCACATAAATAATAATAATAATAATAATAATAATTTGTGTTATTTATAGAACAATTTTTCAGAAACAGATTCAGAATTTGATTCATTGCAAGGTAGGTTTTCACAAACAAGGAATCTACATTGGAGTATGATGGCACAACTCTTCATACAGGTAGGCGGCAGTAGTTCGTATGCATCACTCACCGTAAGGGCTTCATGGAGTAGACGCGTACACTTCGCACGAGTTAACACGGGACCCGCACGTGCGAGCAGACGGCTGGACCCTTTCCCTCGGGTCCACGAGGCGCTAAAAATAAGTGGGTGGGCTCGTTGCACTTGGGGCGCCCGGCAGATTGCCGTGGGAAAAAAAGCGGTTCTGTGGCCCTTCTGGGGCAGAGCTGCATTTTTCCAAAGTTCCGACCAGACTCACGCTGTTCGCGCCAAGTTCACAGGGAGGCACAAGGCATCCACTTCGAAATACACCGTGTCCATCAGTAGTGTTTGAAGCGGACGACCACTTCCAATACGCCGCCAGGATCCCGGGTTTTCGAGGCGAACGTTTGGACAATGTCAACCTTTTTGAAGTCTTGCACAGGCTCCAAAGTGGGTACAGGGACACAATAGCCGCGTTCACACCAAGTACTTTCCTGTACTTAGTTCCGGCACTAAGAGCCCTGGCGCTTTTAACCCCAGGGTACTTAGTACAGATCACGTTCACACCGGAGTACTTTTCCCTGAGGGAAGATTACAAGTACAGTAGGTGGCGGTAAGCACCTTAAAGTTGTTTGCAACCCGCTACAAAACAAGAGAAGAAAAACTGATACAGGATCTGTTTAATTGCCATGTCGGTTTTCTTTATTGCACTCTCAAGACATAACATTAAATAGAAATATTTTAAATGTAACTAAAGTGTCAGTTGTACATGTCAGTAAACATTGTCAATATAAAATAAAGTGTCAGTTGTACTATATAATAACAGTAATAACAATATAAAATAAACTCCCAGCTGTAGGGAGTCTCAGCAGCAAACCCACCTTTATTATATATCTTCCTGAGACCCACTGCATCCGTCTGCCATAAACACTATGCAAACATACATGTTAGTTTTGGCCCATAGTGGACTCCATGTTGTGTTGTGTGAAATGGGGGGGAATTAAAAGTTTAGGTCAAATAATATTTAAAATGATATAAATTGTCATATTTGTGTATGTGCCCCTGCCATTCCCCCACAAGGTTGCAACATTGATGATAAATAAATGACAAATAAAGCTTTGCCAGTTTATAACCGATGAAACATGATGGTATCAGAATAATCACTTACATGTGATGTATAGGATGCTACACAGGTCACAAAAGATAAAGTGTCAGGAGAAATAAGCTTAATCGCCATGTCGGTTTTCTTTATTGCACTCTCAAGACATAACATTAAATAGAACAATTTTAAATGTAAATAAAGTGTCAGTTGTACATGTCAGTAAACATTATATATAAAATAAAGTCATAACAGTAATAACAATATAAAATAAACTGTCCCAGGTGTAGGGATATTCTCAGCAGCATGCACACCTTAGTGCAACGTTGTGTGTCGTGTGTCAGTATTTACAAAAACTATACCAAATAAACTGTTATTAAATGCAGTTTGTCGCTCATCCTGCCGCTGCGCCGACGCTTCCTCATGGCGCAGCGCCCACACTTCATCCTGGTGCTGCTGGCGCTCCATCTGCTGCTTGAACACTTCTGCCTGGCGCTCCATCGAGGTGAGCATCTTGTCCTCCGTTTCCTGGGCCTTGGTGAACAGCACCATCTGATCTCCACGCAGCGACTCATTCACCACGGCACGCCGGTCCTCCAACGCCTGGGCGGTGTCAAAGAAATTCGCATCCCGTGTCCGCTTTCCTAAGAGGGGAAAATAAGCAATATACAATATACAAGTTTAGTCGCCATGTAGTTTTACAACATACTAGGAATGTGTTTTTTGTATTTTCACAAATAGAATTAAGGTTTCACAAATCTGAAACTGTGTTATAAAGAATGTTTAGACCCTCTGGGATAATCCAGTCCAAATAAATCGGCTATGCAGCGATTTAAGAGGTTCAAACACGGAGGATTGTTCCTTTTTGAAGAGTGCTTCATGTATGCTTGAACTTTGTTTAATGTTGTTGAGGCAAGTTAAACATAAAATATGATGAATATTATGAAATAAACATGATTGTGAACATCAGTTCGATGCGCAACGTTCTTTCAAGACAAAGTTACAGTGTGTGTGTACTGTGTGCTCGGGGCCGGTGTTAGCCTATTATGGCTAGCATGGCTAGCTTGATCTACTGAGCAAATAAAAGTACATCTGAGACCATTATTGTGCAGATTAAAACCCCAGTGCATGTAGTTGATTTTACCTTCGTCGTGGTCGTTATCGTTGGCCACTGAATCCGCCGTTTGTAGTCCTGCCCGAGTTTCTTTATTTTTAGCCGGTGTGCCGTGGGGCTGTGCACATTCCCAGGTCGAGTGAAAGCTACTGAACTGGCTTCAGTGCATTCCCTGGGTCGCGTCCTCTGCGTAGATCTCCAGAAGCGCCGACACCTCCTCATCATTTCTTGATGCTTGCCATAACTGCTTTCAAAAACAAACACAACGCACAGAGCGTTGTGTTTTTGTAGCGAGGAAAAACAATGGCGGCTCTACACAACATTTTCAGAGTTGTACGGGCGTGGTTTGCAATTCGCCCAGCCAATCAGCACTGGGGCACTTTTGGAGAACTTTTCACCCACAGAAAAGTACGCTCTCTGAGTTGGCTCTAAAAATGGGGGTAAAAGTACCCGAGATTAAGTACGATTTTTGGTGTGAACGCGACTCACGGAACTAAAACGTGAAAAGTACGGTGAAAGTACTCCGGTGTGAACGCGGCTATTGGGTCCTGGGGAATTCACCCACAAAGTTTGGGGGCCATGCACACCCGTTGACCCCATTAACACACTTGGGAGATATAAGTCCATGTCCACTTCACATACATTACTTAAATGCTGATCTCTGGTATGTTCAGTGAATCAAATACACAAGATTCTGCAGAAATGTATTTAAAGTGCACATCCAAATAAAATACTTAATTGCAGAATCTCGGGTACACAAGACGATGCAGTTATGTATTTGAAGTGGACAGGGCCATATTTAAACATTGCTACCGGCCAGCAAGCTGATACTTGAACTGTGTCATGCTTCCAGCCCATGGATTGAGTGTGTCGATTTTGGAGATGATTGGAGAAACCTTTATTGTTTGACCTTTTCAAACTCATCTCTGAAGACTTTTCCTGAAAAACAGGTCAAAATTTAAGTTGCTCCGATTTGCATGATAGTTGGTGTACTGAGAAAAGTGGCCTCACAGATAACTACTTCAAAGTGACGTGCATGTAGCCCTTGGCATCTTTGAAATATGACCTTCTACATTTCAAATACCACAGGTTGTGTAGTGATGTATTTGAGGAACTATCCACATCGCATACCTGAGGTCACGCAGTCAAGTATGTGCCGTATACAGGAACTTGGTCTCTGAGACTCAATAAAGCCTTTTTTGCCTACCTGTCCACTTTGCATACCTGAGGTCGTGCAGTCAAGTATTTGACGTGTACAGTACATGACAAATATATAACTGCAGTTTAGCGGTGGTGACGTGAAGCTTTTTACTACTAAAGTGGTGTTAATATGTGGAGATTATCCTGCTGAACTAAACGTGTAAAGTTTGGACTCCAAGCAATTAAACTAAAGAGCTTCTGGTCTTTAATTAGGACATTAAAAACATTTGAAGCATACACATGTTACTTTGGCAACACGGACAATTAGGCCCGTGTTTATGATGCTTTTCTTTCCAGGTGTTTTCTTTTAACCACAGAGGTAACTTAAAAGTGGTCCCTTTGGTATTCTTTTGCTGTCCTGTGTACAATTTATGTTTTTAATGAAAGGGATGTCATGTCACTTTGTGTAATTAAGGTTGGTTGTTCTCACAATTATCTCTGTTATAATCAGAAAAAGCTCAGTTGCTTTTGAAAAAGGAAAAAATGTGGATGTGGATAAAAGTCTGCTGACTGAACCCGACTGAGAAGAGCCACGTTGGATGTTTAGATCTCAGGTAATATCTCCAGGCATTTAAAAAACAGAGTTAAAGAATTGGTGTTTTGTTAAAGCTTTCTGATGCTTTGAATACTATTTATTTGCTCTTAATTTTAACCTGTGCACAGGTGAAGTCACGTTCAAAACTTTTATTGTATTAGTATTAGTGTCCTCGTCCACCGCCTGTTGTTCTGTCTGCTGAGGAGAGATGGAGCTTTTCCTGTTTGATATTTCTCCTGAAAGCCCCAGAGGTCTGTAAGAATTTCTGTGCTTTTCATTCATTGCTTCACTGTTTTATGCTGATCAATGTTATCACTTAGAAGACAATGGGTAAGCAATTATGGCACAATTACAAAGGAGTGACCAAATAGATTTTTTGTGTATTTGTATGTCAAAGCTTGAAGGCATTATTTGACAACTTATGATTCTAAAGGGATATCAGGATGTTTAGTTGTTTAAATCTACATGACTTTAGAGTAAACAACCTTCATATTCAGATTTATTAAAAACACGACTAAATTATGTGTACGACGTTGTCAACATTTCAGTTTTTTACGTGTGGAACTTACGTTTATATATACTGCTAATCTGTTGTCATATTCACCCTTTAGAGGGTCACATTATTTACAAAAATTGAATTAATATGTTGAATAATTTTGTATTGAGGTTGTAGAAATCTGCAGTGATGGACATTAGTACGTTTATTTACTCAAGTACTCAAGTAGACATACCTCAAGTTGTCTTTGAGTTCCTGCTAAATATTGTACTTTATACTCAGCCTTATTTATTCGATAACTTTAGTTACTTTAAAGATTCTGGACAATAGCACTAAAAAGTAGTCACTAATAACTGATCATGTATTGTCGAATAAATGTGTTTTAAAATGGGCCTTTGTGCAGAATGAGTACTTTTACTTTTAGTACTTTAAATATATTTTGATGGTAATACTTTCGTACTTTAAAGACTTTTGATTGCAGGGCTTTATATACATTGTGCTCTTAGTACTTTAACTATTAACTGAGTACTGAGTTCATCAGAGAGAGGGGGTTCATACCAGGCATTTGGTGCATTTTAAATGTGTATTTTTATACTATTATAAGTGTTTTCATTGTCTTAGTGTTTTTATATTTAGTGCACCGTAACCTATTTGTAAATCTGCATGAATAACAATGATAGAAATGCTATAAACCAGTAATCACTAACGCCTTTCTTCTCTGACTCCCTCCATCCCCAGAGTCTTTCCTGCCATTGTCGACCAATCACAGGTCGGGATCTGTTAACGTCACCTGGGAGCCCGATGTCACTTTCTTCATCCAGGGCCTCGCCAGCCTCGGAGAGAAAAAGATTATCCTGTTTGTGATCCTGCTTCTGGGTTACATTATCATCCTGGGAGGAAACAGCATGATCATCTTTGTGGTACAAAACTAAATCTCTTTATCTGTCAGGGTCTGTTGTTCAGTTATGCCGTTAAATGTAAACGTCTGCTCTGCCTTGATCTGATATAAAGCGGTAAAAACTGTGAATAAAGCAGTAACTAATGGTGAAAATTGTGAAAATGTAGCTTAAACCTGTATAAAAATAACATTTATCACAGCTTCTGGCAGGCTGATGCATGCTCAAAGATGATACGGCACATTTGGGTTCAGTTCCTGCCTCAGTCTGACCTGAAGTCTTGGTTTCGTAAGGACTGCCATTTTTCTCCTGCAGGCGTTGACAGATTCGAAGCTCAGCTCTCCGATGTACTTCTTCCTCTCCAACCTCTCCTTTGTGGACATCGTCTACACCACCACCACCATCCCCAACATGCTGTCCGGCCTCCTGACACACGTTAAAACCATTTCGGTCCCCGGCTGCTTCCTGCAGATGTATTTCTTCATCCAGTTAGCCGTTACTGGCCGTGCCATCCTGACCGTCATGGCGTACGACCGCTACGTGGCCATCTGCAACCCTCTGCGCTACACGGCCATCATGACGCGACCCGTGAGGCTAATCCTCATCGCGGGAGCCTGGAGCTTTGGCGCCTTCTGCACGCTGCCGTCCGCCGCTATGGGGTGGCAGCGGTCTTACTGCGGCCCGTACGTGGTGAGACACAGCTGGTGTGACCCGTCGTCCGTACGCCGGCTGGTGTGCGGTGACACGTCGGTGGATAACATCGTGTCGCTTTCCTCTGCCATGGTGTCGCTCCTGACCACAGGAGTCCTCATCCTCACCTCCTACGTCCTGATCGGTGTTTCCATGTCCAGGATGGGCGTGGCTCAGAGGCTGAAGGCTGTCGGGACATGTGCCGCCCATCTGATCGTGGTGTCCATCTCTTACGGTTCGGCCTCATTTGTATACATCTCCTACCGGGTGGGGAACTTTTCACCGGAGGTAGGTGATGACACCTCAGTGTTTCCGTTAAACATTTAAAAAAAAAAAAGTAGAATTCCGTCAAATTCAAATCTCTCCGGTCATATTTTCCGGTAATATATCATTTTATTTTTATTTTTTATTTCATCTTTAACTTTAGTAATCTCTAATCTGTGTGAATCTGTGTTGTCCTGTTTTTCATTCTTACCCTGTTGCTGTTAAACTACTGAATTAATGAAGGTTCATCTTATCTTATTTGATCTTATCTTAAAATAATTTGCCATAAGCACAATTTAAAGTGTACTAAAAGTAGTCTGAACAGATGAGTCAGCACTAGCCCGGCTTAATATAAAATACATCTATATGCCTTTGATGATACCTTCCTTTATATAGCTTTCTTCATCACTTTTCTGTTCACAAATAACGATCCATCACCACCAAACTGTGCTGTAGTGAAGGGAAACTTCATTTTTCGCAGATGACATTTGGTTTTAAATGTTGATTTAAAGTAATCCTGGAAATAAATTCAGTTTTGTTGAATAGGAAAGACATAATCAACCTGCCGCTATAGTGGGTAGAAATGCTTTATCTCCTCGTGTGATAATGTGTTTAATAAAACATGACTTCTGATGTTGTTCCAGGTGCGTATCATTGTGTCCGTGCTGTACTCCGCCCTGACTCCGTTCCTGAACCCGATGATCTACAGTCTGAGGAACAAGGAGCTGCGAGAGTCCATCCGGAGGACTCTGAGCAGCTTCAGACCTGCTGCCGTGTCCCCCAGAAAGGACGTCTCCACAGTGTCCTGACAGCAACTCTATCAAAAAAAAAAACATGAGTAGTACCCGAGCGAAGTAGAAATACCTCAAATTGTTTTTGAGTTCCTGCTGCTACCTATACTTTTACTTCACCACAATTCAGAGGGAAATGTTGTACTTTTTACACAGCCTTATTTATTCTATATTTTTAGTTACTTTAAAGATTCAGGACAATAGCACTAAAAAGGAATCACTAATAATTGATTATGCATTGTTCAATATGTGTTTTAAAATGGGCCATTGTGCAGAATAAGTACTTTAAATATATTTTGATGTAAATACTTTTGTACTTCTTCTCAAGAACTGAGTACTTGTTCATCAGAGACAGGGGTTCATATTTAGTGCATGGCCGATATGATTTCTATGTTTTCTCGCCCCCAACTCGTCAACCACGCATCAAACTATGGCACTTCATGCACCTCTCTAGCGTCAGTTTTGGACGCACAGTTCTTACTGTATAGCCGTTGTTAATGGAGTGGTGCTGGAATGAGTCGAAAAACCAGGGTAAAAGTTGTCTTGAATAAAAAAACAGTGTTTAGATATTGTTTTTTTAAATCAGTGTGTACAGTAGTAATGGCTCCTTGTCCTGTTTCATATCTCTGTTCCAATAAAGAGTCAAATCACCTCTAAACGTTTCAGATGGTGAATCTAAGTACTGTATAGTGCCTCTACTTTGACATGTCTCCATGCTTTAATGTTCATAAAGCTCTTTTTCTCATAATGCCTGTGCTGCAGAGGGTTTTTAGTCTTTGCAGACCATTTACAGGCACACAAACCAATAAAACACACTACATGAGAGGGAACACCACAGAAAGCAGAATAGGGCCTCTTTAAGCACTTCCAACCTGTGAGACTGATGGTTTTATAAAAATTGACATATTTGAACCATTCTTTATTCAAACAAAAGTATGCAACAAAACGAAATACAGTATAATAAATCTCCCATCTGACTATAAAGTTACACCATTCCTTAAAGGGGACCTATCATGCAAAATACACTTTTGTACGTCTTTTATACATGAATATGTGTCCCCGGTGTTCCAGGGAACTCACCAAGTGTCAGAAAACACAACCCTCTCTATTTTCCTCCATACCCAAATCTCTAAAAAAGGGGCTGCAACGGATCTGATCAAAACTGATCCAGATTTGAACACTGTCCTGACATCAGGACAGTGGCGCTACGGCTATTGGGCCAACTCTCCACCTATCAGGGGAATGTGTTGTATGGTGTTGGTGGATTTGGCCCAATAGCCGTAGCGCCACTGTCCTGACGTCAGGACAGTGGCGCTACGGCTATTGGGCCAACTCCACCAATCAGGAGGAGACAGCCACGGCCATTGCCGTTCGTAAGCGCTGGAGACGCTGTAGTACATATGCCAGGCCAGTAGATGGTGCTGTTCTCACAGAATCAGCCCTTGCTAAAACAGAGCTAGAAATTGTCAAATTGAGCGAAATGAGGCATGGCTAAAATGCATGATCTGTTGGGTATTTTGAAAAAAAAAAAGTATAAATATGCCTTATATAGGTATGGTCCTACATTATGTTATTCAAATATAGCATGATAGGTCCACTATAAAAAGCTTACATTGGAAATGTAAAATACATTAAACTGAGGATTTACAGTATTTAATAATAGTGAAAAATATTTTAATTTGTTTAGCAAGAAGAGAAAATGTATATAAGGAATGCAATTAATTAATTTGCAAATTATTCATTTACTCAATGGTACAGTGTCCTTGGGTGTCATGAAAGGCGTCCTTAAGGAAAATGTATTATTATTATTATTATTTATTAGTCCCGCAGCGGGGAAATGTATAACGTTACTGCAAAAGTGACATAGCAGGTTAAAGGGCAAGCAATAATAAGTAGTTATTGCTGTTAAATATAGAGAAAAAGCACACATTGGAGATACAAATAAGTACACATCTGTGGCTGAAAAATGAGTAGCAGCATTTAAATATGTAAGTTTGAGATACTTTAAAAAATATAGATTGCACATACAAATCACTACAGTCATTGCACAGTACAACTGCCCAAACAAGTGGATATATTGCACATTACAGGTTGAAAATGTTCTAAATTTGAATTATTCTCAGAAAAATGTACCCATTTCTAATTTATTCAAAAAATCAGTTTGTCCTGAAAGTTTGACTTTTTTCTAAAAATGCAAAATAAAAAAGTTGAATTCATCAAATAAAACCTTTTGATTGTTAATGTTGGGGATGAATGTGCATCGATCTCAGGGTACTTGACTCGTATAAGGAGGTGTTTGAATATTCATCAGTTATTTATGAAAGCTTTTCACATCCTTAACTCTGTTGAAAATGAGTAGCAGCATTTAAATATGTAAGTGTACATATTAAAGGTGGGGTAGGTAAGTTTGAGAAACCGGCTCGAGATCGCTAGAATTTGAAAATACACAACCGGAGAAAATCTGCCACTTCCTTACAGAGCCCCTCCTCCAACACACACGAACGCGCACATGACCAATGAGGGCACGAGATAAGTTTGTGCACAGATGGATGGCTGACAGGCAGGTAGGCCATCCAGTTATTTTAGCGGGGCCGGCTAAAATGATTGGTCGTGCTTTTTACAGTACTACGGCTTCCACAGATGACATTTTTATATGGATTTTTTGTCAAAGCACTTAAGATATTCATTGCTATCGGGATGTTAAGAGCATTCCATGGAATATAACAAAAAGTGTATCTCGAGCCGGTTTCTCACACTGACCTACCCCACCTTTAAAGGGGACCTATCATGCAAAATGCACTTTTGTACGTCTTTTATACATGAATATGTGTCCCCGGTGTTCCAGGGAACTCACCAAGTGTCAGAAAACACAACCCTCTCTATTTTCCTCCATACCCAAATCTCTAAAAAAGGGGCTGCAACGGATCTGATAAAAACTGATCCAGATTTGAACACTGTCCTGACGTCAGGACGGTGGCACTATGGCTATTGGGCCAACTCCACCAATCAGGAGGAGACAGCCACGGCCATTGCCGTTCGAAAGCGCTGGAGACGCTGTAGTACATATGCCAGGCCTGTAGATGGTGCTGTTCTGCCCTTATCTGCCCTTACAAACACAGAGCTAAAAAATGTCAAATTGAGCAAAATGAGGCATGGCTAAAATGCATGATCTGTTTGGTATTTTGCAAAAAAAAAAGTATAAATATGCCTTGTATAGGTATGGTCCTACACTATATTATTCAAATATAGCATGATAGGTCCACTTTAAGGTTTGAGATACTTAAAAAATGATGTATTGCACATAAATATAAGTATGGTTATTGCACAGTACAGGTTGAAGACGTTCTAAATTTGAATTTCAAACCGATTTCTAATTTATTCCAAAAATCATTTTGTTCTGTAAACTTTTTATGAAAATGCAAAATAAAAAGTTTAATTCATCAACTAAAATCTTTTAATTTTTAATGGGGGTGAATGTGCATCGATCTCAGGGTACTTGACTCGTATAAGGAGGTGTTTGAACATTTGTCAGTTATTTATGAAAGCTTTTCCCATCCTTAACTCTGTTCCTGTGAAACACGCTGAAGATCTTCAGTCGGAGCTCTTTGCACTGCAGCCCGTAGATGACGGGGTTCATGACGGGAGGGATGACGAAGAACAAGATGGACGCCACCTTCCCGCTGTCCGCCCACTCCGGCCGCCGGTGGATGATCATGGGCGTGAAGGACATGGTCAACATGATGACGTACACAGCCAGGTGAGTGCCACAGGTCTGAAGCGCCTTGCTGTTCAGCGTCTTGTTCTTCCCCGTCAGACACACTAAAGCGATCCTCAGGTAGGTGAGTGTGACGCTGCACATGGAGGATCCCAGGATCACCACCGCGCTGCCCAGCCCATAGATGTGGTTGTAGAGCAGGCTCTCGCAGGACAGCTTGAACAAGGAGGCGTTGTCGCAGAACGGGTTGACGATAACCCGCCGGCAGCGAGACAGACGGATGCTCAGCCCCATCAGGATGGCCACGGAGATGAAGGCCGCGAGCCAGGCACCCGCCGACAGCCTCACGACCATCCGGAGCGTCATGATGGTGGCGTAGCGCAGAGGGTTGCAGATGGCCACGTAGCGATCAAATGCCATGATCATGAGCACGGAGTGGGAGGTGCCCGCGTGGAAGTGGGCGGCGAAAGCTTGGACCACGCAGTCGATGTAGTTAATGGATCGCTCTGAGATGGGAGTGAAAGCATCACTTAGGAGGCGTGGGATGATGGTGGAGGCCCCGAACGCATCGTTAATGCTCATGTTGCAGAACAGCAGGTACATGGGCTGGTGCAGGCTGCGCTCCGTGCTGATCAGAACCACCAGAGAGATGTTAGACACCATGATGAAGATGTAGATGAGGAGGAGGAGGATGAAGGCAGAGATGGAGGACTGAGGTGTGACCTTTAACCCCTCAACCAGTATAATGTCCAGGTCCCCAGTTTGGTTCTCCATCCTGCAGATGGAGAAACCTGCAGAGAGACGGGTTATTAATAATGATGCAGTTTCAACCTAAAACAGAGCAAAAGAAGTAATCAGGAATATTTCAGAATAAAAAGCATTATTTATTTACCTTTGGAAGTTGTAAATGTAATAGAGCAAATAGAGTAAGTCGATGTTTTTATACGGCAAAATAAAACATTGTTTTACTTTTGAAATGTTAACTAGCAAATGTAATAGCGCTTGCATTTGGCCAAAATAAACATTTTTAATTAATGAAATTTAGCAAATAGAGTTAAGAAAAATAGAAAGTCTTGAATATGAATATTATTAATTTTCACATTTTTGTATCATGATTATAGATTTTTCTTGATTTATTAAAAAAGGAAATTATTCAATATAAATCATAGATTGTATAAAATAATGAATCATTGTCCTGTAAAAGCCTTTCTCCCTGATTTTATATTCAAATGTTGGTTTCACAATGTCTCTACCACATCAAATATCTTTGACTAAATCAGAAACAATACAAACAGCTGTTCGT